CCATCCTGGCCCAGCCCCTGCTCAGCCCAGGTAAGGTAATCCGGCCCCAGGGCTTCCCAGCCCCCTGCACCTCCCACCCCCCTAACCCCGTCCCACAACACTCCTGCACCTCCCACACACCACACCCCTGACCCCTGCGCCCCCCTCAGGGGCATTCTCGTAGGGCTCTTTGTGGACCACTTGCTCTGAACTTTGATGTAGTTTGGCTCTTTGGTGGGAAAGAGCGTGGGACCCCAGGTAAGACCCAGAGCTACACCGACCAGGTAACGTGCCCGACCCGCTGGGCTCCATGGAGCATACGGACGGGCAAGCAAAGCTTTGAAAACGCCGTCTCACGCGTGCGGGAGGCACAGAACTGGAATGCAACCTTGAGGGTGCGGGATTTTTTCTTTCTTTGTGCGTCCTGGTCCCCAGTGCGGGGAGACGCACGGAGCAGATGGAGACACACAGACAGGGGAAGGGGGTTACAGTACCAGCGAGTCACAGTTGAGGGGTGGGAGGATAAAGAGTCCAGCGGCGGTGGAAACACGCACAAGGTGCAAGCGATCCGCCAATATCCCAGAACCGCTGCAGAGGGTCCCACCTGCTTCCACCACCGGGGGGCGATGTTGCATGGCGGCCACATGGCCAGCAGCATCGTGGGTGCCAGTGTCCACTGGGACTGGCCAGCCCCCCGCCCCGCCGCAGCAGGAAATCCAATGCGACCGGTGATGAAGACGGCTCCTTCCGGCCAGCTCTGGAGCAGCGGTGCCCAGCCAGGACAGAGTCTGGTCGTCTGGGGCAGCGGCCCCCCACGCCGGGGTCAGATCAGACGCTCCTCGGGGGGCAGCTGGAGGTTGGCGTTCGTCACCGCCCGCGCGCCCGCCTGCTCCTCGCTGCTGGGCCGGTAGGTGCCCTCCGTCTGCCGCCTCTCCCGCACCTTGAGCGCCCCGAAGATCGCCAGTCCAATCAGCAGGAGCCCCCCGACCACAGAGGGGACGATGATGGCTGCCAGCCGCTCCGACTCCTGCCAGGGAGCGAGGGAGAAGCAGGATCGTGCCCAGCCCAGCTCTCTGCAGGCGAGAGCGGGGGCGGAGAAGTGCCAGGGGAGGGCCGTCTTAGCAAGGGGAGCGGGAGGCCGAGGAGGAACAACGCTGCATATGCCACGGAGCCAGGCTCTCCGCCAAGGGCGTGGGTAGAGCAGTCGATTGCGTGGGCAGCGGGTAATGCAGGCAAGGGAAGGCTTTGCCTTCCCAGAACGGCCTACACTGCCCAGCCGCCCAGGAGGGGCTGGGGCCGCAC